AAACGTCAGCCTCTCTGCTCCTATGATGCTGCTTGGCCTGCTGTGTTCATCCAGCCCTGCACCTTGTCTTATAAATTTGCATAATGAGTTTAGCCACCTTGTTCAAGTTATACACATTCTCAGAACTTCTGCGGCATCAACATGGGGTGGCACAGTGGCTCAGTGGTTAGCACTGTTGCCTCACAGCGCCAGGGACGCAGGTTCGATTCCATCTTTGGGCGACTGTCTGTGTGGAGTTTGCACGTTTTCCCCATGTCTGCGTGGGTTTCTTCCGGGTGCTCCGGTTTCCTCCTACAGTCCAAAGATGTACAGGCTAGGTAGATTGGCCATGCTAAAATTGCCCATAGTGTTCAGGGATGGGTAAATTAGGTGGGTCATAGGGGAACGGGTCTGGGTAGGATGCTCTGAAGGCCGGTGTGGACGTGTTGGGCCGAAGGGCCTGTTTCCACACTGTAGGGATTCTATATATTAAAAAAAGTCTCCATTCAAAGGTCTCTGGTTTAAATACAGCTCTCAGCTACTGTTGTGTTTGGACTGTGATATTTTAACTGATGCCTCCAAATAGGTAAAGATCTATCAGCTGACTTGGACACAATGTGCCTGTGGATGTTACAAGTGAGAATACCTGTAAGAGTATTGTCCAGAAGTGAGAAATGAGTTAAAGTGGAAAAAACCTCAAATTCACGTCAAATCTTAGTCTTTAGGTGTCATGTTGTTTGTGCATTGGCAATTCTACATGAGACCAAGTGGGGAATGGCACCAGTACTACTTGAGCAACCTTCGATGTCTGGCTCAGGGTGGGAACAGCAGCAGTATTGTCCTACGCAGCCTGAGGTTAAGAGCATGACCAAGAGGAAGATTCATAAGAAAATGTTGAATTATATTTTTAAGAGTAATGGTATTATTCTAAAATGTATGTTGCTCGTAAGCTAACCTGATGAGTTAATCTTTCTGTTTTGCATCCCAGACAAATCCAACCTATTTGGCCAAACTGATCTTCCAGATGCCTCAAAACAAGTCAACTAAATTCATGGATACTGTCATCTTCTCCTTGTACAACTATGCATCAAACCAGCGAGAAGAATATCTGCTGCTAAAACTCTTTAAAACTGCTTTGGAGGAAGAAATCAAGTAGGTTGGCTAAGGGATCTCTTCATCCCCCATCCCCCAACCTACCATCTGTATTTTGTTTTTAAGTGTGCTCTCACAGATTTTAGCAACTTTTTTTGCTGTGTCTGTGTCTGCCTGTTGCCATGCAATGTATGGCAGAAGAATTTTCAGCCATCTGGTTAGTGGAGAACGTTCAAGAAGCCTTGCTTTTGTTCTCCTCCACCCCCTCTCTCTCGGTTTTGGTTCTCTCTACCGATCTCTTCCCTAGTTTAGAAAACAATGAGCACATTTTATAAATCTCTCGCTAATACCCCAGCAGAAGTTAGCTAACTTTGCACAGAGCAGAAATGAACAGGATCCTTTACTTTCCCAATCGTACGGTGCATTTAGGCCCTGATGTATCTGAGCAGATAAATTGATTTAAAGTTTTATATTGCATTCTGGAACTCCTTTTCTGACAGCACTATGGGTGGACTTAGCCCATATGATCATAGATCAGTTCATAATGACAGCTCACCACACCTTCTCTGGGGCAATTAGGAATGGGCAATAAATGCTGGCCGAGCCAGCGATGCATTGCCACGGTCCGTGAACTAGTTTAAAAAAACAAAATGGACAAAAAAAAACAAAAGAACTACAGATGCTGGAAGCCTGCTGAATGGGCTCAGCAGGTCTGGCAGCATCTGTGGAGAGAAAGCAGAGGTAAAGTTTCGAGTCCAGTGACCCTTCTTCAGAAGGTTCTGTTTTTGTGTGTGGGGACAAACACAGTTTGGCTGTGAACCTTTTCTCCTTATAAAATTGCCCTTGCAAAGAAACAGTGAGCCGAGTGCACTACATTCATAATGACAGAATTGAATGTCCTCGCATGTGAGGGAGAGGCTCTGGAAACATGTCTACTTCCAAACACCCTGAAACCAGCAGCTGGAAATAAAAAAACAAAAGTGACTGCAGACACTAGCAGTGTAGCTTTGATTAATGGAACATATAAAAAACTTGTGTATTCAATTGAAGTCATCTTGTATATAAAATGAAGAACTTTATACAGTACGAGTGTTCTCATGTTCCTTGTAATTACAGTGCAAAGCATAACACACTAAACAGCTGGTAAAATGTGCATTGGTCATAAACTAATTTTTTTAGCAATACAGATGAGAATCAGAATATGTACCTTTTGATATCAAGGCAGAGAGAATACCTATGTATTGCTGACACGCAAAAATTCAAATATATGGAATAAAGTATGCCATACTGCAAAATGAATTCTTAATCACCACAGTTAATACTTAGCCAGAAGCAAACTGCAATAGCTTGTCATCACTTAACATTAAAGATTAAAATTGCAAATGTTAGATGATTAATGAAATGTCACCAAATATTGTGGAATATAATTACATATTGCTTAAAAACACAAATTCAGAAGCAAGTGCTTTAACCGTGTTCTAAGAATGTACCACGTAGCTTTTCTTTGGAGAAGAGGTGAATTAGAGCTCCTTAATTCTGCACATGTTTTATCTTACATTTACTAAATACAGGTCTAAGGTGGATCAGGTTCAAGATATTGCCACTGGAAACCCCACGGTCATTAAAATGGTAGTTACCTTCAACCGTGGTGCGCGTGGACAGAATGCTCTGAGGCAACTGCTTTCTCCTGTAGTGAAAGAAATAATGGAGGATAAAACACTCGCTATAAATACAAACCCCGTGGAGGTATACAAGGCCTGGGTAAATCAAATGGAGATGCAAACTGGTGAGGCCAGGTTGGTAACGTAACTGACAAATTAATAATCAGTATGTGTGTACAAGCTTACTTTTTTGTCATATTATGTTGTAATAGAAGAATTTTACAGCACCGAAAGAGGTCATATAGTCTATCCCGTATATAGTCATGTAGTCCATCTGTGTTAGCTCATCAAATAATCTTTGTTCAGACAGTAATCCTTCGAGATGGGTACAGGCACAGCGTCCAAACTCTGGCACGCTTGTGTCCAAGCTGTGTTTCCTTTTGGGTCTTTCTGGATTTTGGATTACCTGTTAGTTTTCTGATGTCAGCCCACAACAGATTCCTGGTAGGTGTTTCTAAACTTTTTTTTCAGTAAAAGCTCCAAGCTACCATTCCCTGAATGAGTTGGATCATGAAAAGCACGTTCCAGGACAACTGTTGAATGCAAAATAGCAAATGCAAATGGACAGGATAACTTACATAAATGCTGTAAACGTTAAGCAACTCCCTCGTAAAAGGAACAAGAATACTGGATTTAAGGCAATATGCAAAAGAAGCAAGGGTTACGTGAGCAAAACTTTTATCACACAGAAGTAGTTAAAGCTTGGAAGGCACTGCCTGGAACTCTGCTGGAGGCAGGTTCAACTGAGGCATTCAAAAGAGCATTGGATAATTATTTGGGTAGAAGTGGTGTATGTTGGTATGGAGCAACACCAGGAGGTTGGCATGAGGTAATGATGCTTATTTGAAGAGCAGTTGCAGGCATGATGGGCTGAATGGCCTGTGCCATAACAATTTTGTGATTCTGAGACTCTGATACACTATATATAGCTTTTTTTTATTAAATCATTACGGTGATGTGATGGAGGCTTTGAAAAACGTTATCCAGATTGTCACAAAATTGTTTACTTTAATTTGTGTATTTTACCTGGTCTTTAAGTGAATTCCTAAAGTAAGCCATCTTTAAGAATTGATTAGGACGTCGTGCTGCAGTGTTATGTGCCCTCTTTAGAATAGGATTTTAGATTGGAAAACCACAGGCAGAATTTTCTGTCTATTTTATCCTGATGTCGAGATCAAATCCCACTGCATCAGGAGCAGTAACTCGATGGCAGTTTTATGGGTGAATGAGCAGCCAGTGGCCAGAAGGATGCAACCACTGTCTGCTTGAGGATGGCGAATGGCCTTTCAAAGCTGGAGGTGTCAGTAGCAGGTCCTCCAGCATGACATGAGGTGCAGCCTGCCAATGCAGTGAAGGGCAGCACGGTGGCTCAGTGGTTAGCACTGCTGCCTCACAGGACCAGGGAACCGGGTTCGATTCCACCCTCGGGTGACTGTCTGTGGGGAGTTTGCATATTCTCCCCGTGTCTGCGTGAGTTTCTTCCTTGTGCTTTGTTTTCCTCTCACAGTCCGAGGACATGCACGTTATGTGGATTGGCCATGCTAAATTGTCCATGGTGTCCAGGAATGTGTAGGTTAGGTGGATTGACCATGGGGAAATGCAGGGCTAGTGTACTGGGTCTGGGTCTGGGTGGGATGCTGTTCAGAGGATTGGTATAGACTTGATGGACCAAATGGCCTGCTTCCATGCTATAGGGTTTCTACGAAACCTATGAAGACTGCTAGCAAAAATGATTCCATTTTGGGACACCTCTTACATTCATTGTACACTTCATTTGGAATTACAAATAGGTACAGCTGCTAGCCCCCTCACCCTGTGGAGGGCCTGTCCCTCAATAGGTTGGCTGCAGCCTCAACTATAGCCAGGTGAGAATGGTAGAGGTAAGTGGATGTCAAAGTGTTCCTGGAGCATTGGCCCTCTTCCCCCACCCACCCCTGATGCCAGAAGACTGCCTGCAGACATCTGCAGCGCTCCTGACTTGATTAAACCAGTGGGTGATGGGGTGGGTTGGTGGCTGCTGAGGATATATTATAATTGATGTAGCACTTGTGGGAAAATAATTGTTCCCAGCCTGGCTAGACATCCAAGAAAATAGCCATGAGTCATCATGCTGGCTGACGTCAGGAAATTCTACATTTGCATTCCTCCATTCCTGCCTGTAAATCAGGATTATAACCTTGTCCCACATGTTTCAGAAATCTATATTCCATATAACCCTAATCTCTATCCTCCTGTACCTCAATTTGTACTGGGTGGATAACGTCACTCAAATCGTTGAGGATTCCATGCATTCAGTTTTTCTCTTTTTCAATGATTCATTTACTGGTGTTCCTGCTCAAAGCGATGAACTGCACACCCAAGGTAATGTTTTGTTGTTTTGCGTTTGCAGCAAACTGCCATATGATGTCACAGCAGAGCAGGCCTTGTCACATGAAGAAGTGAAGACCAAACTCGAAACCTCAATGCGCAACCTGCAAGCTGTCACCGATAAGGTTCTCATGTCAATTAGCACATCCTTGGACACCATTCCGTAAGTAGCATTTATCATGCAATCGTCAAATGACAGCACCCACGTGGAAATCTTTAGCCCATTGAGAGATCTGTGAACAAGCTTTCCAATTATACCCACTCTCTATATATTGCAGATGAGTTCAGAATCGGGCTGTTACATAAAAACAAATACCAGAAATAGGTGCAACTGGAATTTATTTTAAATATGTCAAAAATCATAACGTTTCATTCAAGAATTTATTTTTGTAGTTTACGTTTATAAACTGCAATTATGTTTGTGTCCTTAAGTGCTGACTTGGCTTTTTTATGCTGCAGCTATCATTAAATTTACCCAAATTTTGACAGGATTTCTAATCACTGTACACTGGTTTTGTTTAAAATACAATGCAAACTTCAGACTTGTTTCATTGCCAAACTCGTGCAAAAGGAAAATGCCTTGAAGTTATTTTCATCAGTATTTACACTTTCATGATATTAGTTACTTTCTTTGAATGGTTTACACTGACACTATCTTGATTCCTATAGTGGAATTAGCATTTCTTTACAAACTGAATCAGCTGCAGCAAACATTTCCAAGATGATCAAAATAAAAAATCTGTTTGAAGATATTGAAGTAGTAATTATGGTTCACTCATTTCTTGGTCCTTAAACCAGGATCTCAAACTTTCAATGTGTTATACCACTGGATATGCAGCTGACAACATCTTATGTTTTTGCGAGCTTGCCCCAAAAGTCAACTTAAATAAATGTCAGCCTTATTACAATAAGCCTATGGGACATGAATTAGGACAAGGTACTCTTGCAATATTTCCTCTGTGCACCATTATCAATGGATATTCACGTTTAATTTTTAGCAGCAGAACTGTACCTCCCTTTAAGTGGTACCTATAAGTAACGTCAGTAATGCACAATGTTGATAACTCCTCATTAGACAAGTTGCCAGTGAATGATACGCACCTACTTTTTATTTAAATTAGTCACAAAATGACCTATTTGTTCACATGTTTAGGCATGTACTCCAAGCATGGCAGCAATTCTGCACCCAAAATTGGACTTAAACCAATTTCTTCTTCGTTCTGTGTATAAAGTTGTGATTTGAGTTAATAGCTGCTTGCCTGACTCTCTAACTTTTGATTCTGAATTCAGTGATCAGTTATAAAGTCCTTGCTCCTAATCACTTGATATCAGTCAGAAAGTAAATTTGTTAACATTATATCAAACTATAGGTCCTGATTTCTGAATTAAAATGAAAGCTGGAGAGCTATATTTCATTTTCTGCTGAATTTTGTTTGTGTTAGACAGCTATGTGCAAGTTAGTTGAATGTACTTTGTACAGATTGTTTTCCCCTACCCCACAAAACAAAAGACTGACTTGGCCTTAGCAGCAAAAGCAACAAGTGTTAAAGAGCAATTTGAGTTATGTGCTGGTCCTGCGGCTCTGCTGGTATTGTCTCCTTTCTTCCTCATTCTCACCCATGTTACAATTAACCATAGAAAAATAAATTATCAAAATTACTTTCTGAAATATTGTGATTATGAATAAATGCAGACTTAATTTTAAACTAAAATTACAATATTAGATTCTGGCTTATGTATCCATCATTTTCTATTAATGTCAACAGGAACAGATGGTTAGGTATGGAGTGATATTTTTATAACCGTCTTAAAGCCGTAATGATAAACGTACAGTGATAAAGTCAGCATTCGGAGGCTATCATCAAATATTTATGCAAGTATTTAGAAATGCAAAATTTGATCAATGAGAAACCAGGATTAATTTGAGGCTGATCATTTTTAGCCAAGCTAACAATTTAAAGTGACCAACTGCATAAGTAACTGTACAAAATCTACAAAATTTTCAGATTAGATTTGATGGGCACTTTAATTGATAGGCAATTAAGAAAAGTTTCGGCACTTTTGAACTACAGTGATATGGATAAAAAATTAAAACTGGAAGAACTGCAGACGCTGTAAATCAGGAGCAAAAACAGAAGTTGCTGGAAAAGCTCAGTAGGTCTGGCAGCATCTGTGAAAAAAATCAGAGTTAACGTTTTGGGTCCGGTGTCCCGGTTCTGAGGAAGGGTCACCAGACCTGCTGAGCTTTTCCAGCAACTTCTGTTTTTGTGCACGGATAAAAAATTGACTGAGCAAAAATACCCAATGTGTTAGAGTAAATAGATGTTGCTCAGATTAGAGAAGGGCTGAAAACAGTATGCAGTACAAGGTCAGTTCTGGATTATTTTATCCACTGTATACAAAGAGGTTATGTACTTGTGTAGAGGGAATGCAATGTTGAACTTTTCTGATTCTGTAAAAGTAAAGGACTTGGTCAACAGCAAAGAGAATTTAAATATGTCAGGATGATATGTCTGAGCAGAATTTAATTTTGATTTGAGGGCCAATGCATTATAGATGAAAGAAAATAGGAATAGCAAATAAAAATAAAACATGGAAAGACACTGAAGATGTGAACTTAAAAAGAACCTATCCCTTCATGAAATTATGAATACAACCAGATTGTTCCATTCAGGACTCTGGAATTGAATTTTAGAACAGAAAGCAGAGTGAACAGTGCAGTGAGCAGAGAGCTGGACAATGGTATTAGGTTAGCGGAGAGATGCACAGTACGATTTTCTCTCTTTTTAATGATGATGGGCTGTATCCTGGAGTCCTCCTTCAATAAAATTTGATTATCCTTATTTACAATACTTGGATTCCATTCCTCTACTGGCTGTAAAGGTTCCATCTTCTCTACCCCACGCCTCACCTGAGTCATGGTGATCCTCGAGTTAAACTCTCCACTGGTCATCTCCCTCTCTAATGAGGGAGCAGCCCTATGGTCATCTGGGACGATGACAACTTTACCTTTTACTGGTAATAGCTGAACGTTAAAATTAAATTTGGTTTTAAATGAGATGTATTTTCCCAATTGGACAATCTACATGTGATCAAAGCATTATAGCATCATGCTGAATCACACAGGAAAGTGTCCAGTCATTGATTCTATCTTGTGTTAGTCGTGTTTTATTAAACTTTAATCCATAATAATTCATTTGCTTGTGAGTCTAACCTTTGTTGAGCAAAAGTATTTTACTTTCCTGCAGAGGGCAGGAGAGTTTTTTTTAATCAACCCAGTAGAGTGGCTCATAAATAGTATGTCAAGAATGCTTTTTTAAAAAAAAATTATTTAATCATAACACTTTTTATTTGAAAATCTGTTTTGCTAGTGTTAATATTTCACATTTCTAAAATTTATTTGTCTGTCTGTAGTTATGGAATGAGGTATATAGCCAAAGTTCTGAAGAATTCGTTGCATGAAAAGTTTCCTGATTCCACTGAAGATGAACTGCTAAAGGTAACTCAATAACACTCTATATGTTGATTTTTACTTCAGCTGGCTCTGTCAAAAGTACCATGTTTTTTAGAAAAAAAGAAATTGTGTTCCAATCGTGTTTTTTTTTGTGAAAACTGTCATTTTGACAGCCTTTAAAGAAATGTTTTGAAGATTTATTGTATAATTGAGTTTGCTTCTAATGTAGTTGAGTACAAATAATAGTTGTCTAGGAAAGAGTTAAGTTACTGAGCAGTTGTGAATTAATGACAGTACGAATCCTATTGAAAATGGAAATGAAAGTTAGGATATTTTACTGAGTAAAATATCTTATAAAATTAAATATTTCCTGATTAAAACGTTTTAAAATTCCTTTCAGTTGTGTTTGTTACATAGAATTCACAACAAAGAATTTAGTGGCATCTGTCTTTCCTACATTTATAACCATTAGATTAATATTCTCGCTCATGTTGACAAGATAGCTCCTATTCTGTCAAATCTTTTCATAATTTTAATGAGCTCAGTAGTTGGAGGATGACCTGTTAGAGAGGAAAAGGAAAGTCCCAACTTGTGTAGTCTTTCCCAATGGCTTTAACCCCTTAGGTCTGGTGTTACTTTTGTAAATTTTTTTTGCAATTCTGAATAAGAACAGGATATAGAGTTCTGGACTACTATGCAACATATCTAATTCTATACTGTCATAACAAATTGCACAATGCAGAGCAACTTTAGGATGTTAGTTGCTTGTACAGTTGAAAATCATTTTATTTGTTAACACTCCAAGTTTGATCTCTTCTCATATATTTGTGTTCTCTGTGCTGCTTTCTTCACTATTTTAACTGGTGCACTGTGGGATTTAATGGTTTACCATCCTGATGATTGCTATTGTATTCATTTTGTTTAATAGACAACAAAGTTTAGTTCATCTCAAGGAGTGTCTATACTGTCTGTGCAACCAATGGTGAATGACAGTCAGCGCGTCAAACCCATCCTTCCTATTTTCTAACTTGTTTAGGTTTCTTCCAACTAGATTAGTTCTTAAATCCTAAGATATTTGAACTAAAATCTTTATCTTTACTGATATGATCTTTTGGAAAATTAGTCACCTAAAGTCATTTTAGCCGTAAATATAAGCTTGCCTTTTACAAGAATGAGTAAAAACTCATCTCTGACACTCTTCATGGATTTAATCCTTCTCGTGAGAATTTCTGTGGAAGTCATAATATTTGCTGCAATCACACACAAGGACCAGATACTTACTTACACTAGCAACCACATCAACAGCCATAAACAGAGCTGCATCAGGACATTATTCAAATGGGCTACAAGACACTGCAGCAACCCAGAATTGCACAAAGCATAGCAGGAGTACTGAAACAGAGTTTTTAGAAGCACACTCTGCGATTACCTCCGCGACAGACCACAATAAGAAGACACAACGTGGCTAGGTACATTAGTCACCCTACCATACATCAGAGGCATATCAGAGATGACTACAAGACTACGTAGACCCCTAGCTATCAGGGTAGACTGCAAAACAACAACCACCCTACAACAGCTACTGACTATCTTAAAGGATCCCATACCCACAACCAATAAAACTAAGATAAAGTACAAAATACCATTCAAGGATGATGAGAAACATTACATAGGCCAAACTGGAAGAAAACTGACAATAAGGATACACAAACACCAACTAGCCACCAAGAGACACGACCAATTCTCACTGGTGTCAATACACACGGACAAAGAAAGATACAAATTCAACTGGGACAACACATCCATAACAGCACAAGCCAAAACAGAGAGACACCAGGGAATTCCTGGAGGCCTGGCATTCCAACCGGAACTCCATCAACAAACACATTGAACCGGACCTGATGTACAAACCACTGAAGAACAGAACTGGAAGTAATGCCAACCACCTTAGCAAACTGAGGCATATAAATAACACCAACGCTTCACTGGAGGCGCACTGACGATGTTACTGAGCAGGGTGATGAAATTTCTGCAACCAAACGCACCGGCTCAGCGAGCATGTCTACACCTCATCCACAAAATGAGTTACAAATCTGCTCAAAAACTTTAAACTGATTTCTTGCACAGTACCATATAAGAACTGTACTTTGAAAATGGAAATTACAAATCCAGTCTTGAAAGTTTAACACTTCAGTTCCCTAGAGTTTACCCAAAAATCTGGAGAGGGAACGTTCTAAATTTTCCAAGAAAATTTGAGAAATGAGTTCAAAACCCATATTTATAGTTTAAAATGCTGCAGTTTTTTTTTTAAAAGGTATATATGCAAGTGTAGTATCTGAACAGTAATGTCCCTGAAATACTTCTATGTAACTAATCCTTGCTGTTTAACAAACCATTGTAGCTTTGGTTCTACATCAGTGAATGTGTTTCAATTGTGTTAATGTTGTGGAATAATGTTCTAACCAGGTACCTGTTCAGGCCTATTTACATGACTGACCTAAAATGCAGAAATGCTGCAAAACCATACTTCTCATGGCGAAATGGGATTCTGAAAGTGAATTAGTATATTTGAGTTACAAAATCGGATGCGTAGCTAGGAATTTCTAGCATGGTGTGGAACATCACGAGTTATAATGATTGTAATTCTTGTATGGGACATTAGCAAGGCAGGTCGAGGGATAGAAAATGAGTGACATTAGTTCCAGATAAGTGTCTATCCCTTTATTGCTTATTTTGTAGTTATCTCAAGGAAAGTTTTGTCCCAGTGATTTTAATATTACCAATTCATGTTTGCAGATTGTAGGCAACCTTCTTTACTATCGCTACATGAACCCAGCCATTGTTGCTCCTGATGGCTTTGATATCATTGATATGACAGCTGGGGGTCAGCTCCATCCTGATCAACGGCGGAACTTGGGCTCAGTGGCAAAAGTGCTACAGCACGCTGCTTCAAATAAGCTATTCGAAGGAGAAAATGCACAGTTATCATCAATGAATGCCTACTTATCACAGACTTACCAGAAATTTAGGTAAGTTGCAATATATGGAATCTGAGGTGAAAATCTTGACACTTAAAGTTATCTGCTTTTACAAAATAGGAAAGAATTGTTTTAAAAATTGTTTTTATAAAATATATCTCATGTGTGTTTCAAAACCATTACCAGTTTAGGAAGAATTAACTATATTCAGCAGCGCTGGTGTAAAATGGGTGTGACTTGTAATTCAAGCACAATTATTGCATTGATTAGACAGAGTTTGTGTTTTGTTGGTAAGTATGTTCATTCAGAAAATTTCAAAAATGAACATAAAAATGCAGTGATAGTAGGAACTGCAGATGCTGGAGAATCCGAGACAACAAGGTGCAGGGCTGGATGAACACAGCAGGCCAAGCAGCATCATAGGAGCAGAAAGGCTGACGTTTCGGGCCTAGACCCTTCATCAGAAAAAGAATGCAGTATTTATTTATTGGAAGCATGCTCTTGTCACCTTGCTTTCACTGCTGATATGCAAATATATGTTATTGCTACAACAAAAAAAGACAGCAAAGATGGAATGGCACTGTAGAAGAAAGAATGGCCAGGTTTCTAAGACAAGAATCTAAAGGTTTGAATAAATTAATTTCGAGGCTGTTCAAATTAAGTCTTCTGCCTCTGTTACATTGGCAATTCAAAACTCAAACTCCACTTTTCCACTGTTTTCTTACATTTAAATGTCACTTCAGCATCACTGTTCATGTAAAATCAACTGCACTCAAATTGGAATTAGCGGTGTCAACAGTTTTTCTTATTCAAATTCTCCAGTATCTCCCCACCTTTTATATTTAATTTTATTTCAAGTGCTGCTCAGATTACTTAGGTGAAAGACGGGGACAGAGGATATGACATGGAGTTGATCCCGTCCTTGCATTTACTTTGGAGCAAAGAGTTGTTGAACAGCAGCTACATCAGAATTCGTGGCTGTGTTTTGCAAACCCCAACCTGATTCAAATACTGAAGTTATTTGTAAATGTCTTCCCTACTGCTGGTTCTGTAAGCTCCAGGGGTTGTCCAAACTACGTGGTGCAGAATGACTCATTGTCTTTTCCTTTGAAATCGTTAAGGGAACTCAAAGGCAAAAAAATCCTGCTGGGCTGCTGTGTTAAAAGTCACGTTCACATCACAATCATGTTGACTCTTCAGTCATTAGAAAATTTGCAATTGAGTGGGTGCTGGAGACAGACTAATAAACACCAGTTGTGTGGTTGACAAGGGAATAAGACATGAGTAAGATAATGGGGAATAAAACAAAGTACTATAAATAGTCAGGACTGGCTGCCCTGTGAAGAGAGAAATAGTTAGCATTTCAAGACACACGAGAATTATGTTTGGAACTTTCCAGGGAGTTGACTAAAAAATTAAAGCAAACATTTTGTTTGTGTGTTTGAAGCAAAATTGTTAGCTCAAATATCTTTGAAAACCCTGAATTATTCCAAAGGTTTGCAGTATTGTGGGAGAAAAAGTCTGTTTCTAATGTAGTAATGCACCTTTCTGAAAGCACCCCCATGTCAAGTGAACACAAATGTCCCAGTTGTTTCAGAG